TCTTCATACGCAGTATGCAACCAAAATATACTATTAAGACTAAAATTTTTCCAGCATAACTATGTGTTGGGATGTTTTCACTCATACAAGCAAAAGTAAAATAAGTGTTAAGTAGCTTAAACTTTTATAGGGTAATGACCTAATTAACATCTAAAACCGCTTAAATAAATGTAGTTTGTCATTATCTGACAGTCACTTTTGACCATTGAAATACTTTGTTTTACAGCTGGTTTGAGATTTGTTTGGATTGTTTCTTAATCTTAAAAGGGACTTGATGTTTATAGTATGCATTTTCTTTTGCTGCAGTGAAAAGAAGTTGCTTGTTGAATAAAAAGGAAAGCATGAAGGCACTCCTTTCAAAAAATGGAGAAGCTAGAAAACTTTTTCTGGTTCTAAACACTGACTTAAGATTTGTACACCTTTATCTGGAACCTTTTTAAAAAATAGTCTTGGTGCTCCAATGCAGGGCTGTCAGGTTTTACTTCTACAAATAAAACAGTATCAGCCTGAATGGTCACTCCTCATTAAGAGTTGGACATAGTTGCACAGCGTATTTAATGCTACAATTGTTTTAATGTGTTTGTTGGGTTTGCATCAATTTCCCTTTGATATTACTAATTTTTATACAAAGTATTCGATATTTATTCTTAAACTTTGCTCTGTACCACAAAAAGACAATTGTTTTGTAAAACTTGTTTTGAATAAACAGACTTATTTCTTTTAAAAAAAACCCAAAACAACATGACAAAGGTGGTAAATATCTCTTCTTGCTTTCTTTGTAACAGACGGGCTTGGCTCTGATACTTTTAAATACTATTCCGAGTCCCCCCCTTATTATAGGACTTCAGACTGCTTTCTTCCCCTGCTTCCTTTCTGTTCTACTTTGAACCAAACCTTTTGTGAAACAAAATGCAAAATTAGTGTTTCTAAGAAAGGAGACAGTTAAATTTGTTTACCAAGCTTCTAGGTCCAAAGTTGTTTAAAACTGCCAAATATTAGAAGCTTAACCTGTTGTTAAAATTAAACTGCCAAATTTGTATGTTCTCTTAAGGCAATCATTCCCCAAGATGTGCATCTAGCTAAAAAAGTTCTATTTCAGATCACACTTTCCACCTTTTGAAATGTAGCTGATGGGGTTGGAGACCAGTCATAGTATTTTCATAGCATATAATTAAATTCGGATACATACAAAAATGCAACTTCTTACTGTCTCCAATTGGTCTTTGCATCAAGTAACTTCAGCATATAGCTGTGTGAGAGAGGCATAATTTAAGTGTAAATTACCTAAATGATAATGAAGAAGAACAAAGGAAATGAAGTCAGTGAGGACTGTGGGGTTCGGCTTCTTGCAGGGTGGCTTTTGTTGGGTTTTGTGTTTGGTGGGGTGGGTTTTTTTTGTAATTGCTCCCCCTGGGCTAGGAACAGTGCACTTCGACTAAACTAAACTGGGTTTGCTTGGTACTTTTTGTTAAACTAAATGACAAGTATTTGGTGTTTTAGAATACATTATTAATAATCTCTTTCTCAAGACTTTGCAGAAAAGGAGAAAAGATTCTTACATTAAAAAACCCAGAAGCTTCTCAGAGGCATATAGGATATTCATATTTGACTGACCACAGTGAGATGATCTTTAATACTGCTTTCTTGTAAATGTGTGCAAGGCTTATTCTAATGACTTATTTTCTCCTGTCATGTAATTTATGCTTCTAAGAAAAAAATTGCAAAAAAAACCCCAACCCAACCAAAAGATAAATTTTGCTTGCTTTTCCAGGTGATACTGTGTGTAAATGCACAGCTGTAAGCATTTCAGTGATTATATCTAATATAGTTCTTGATATAATTTCTTGATTATATCTAATTATTTTTTAATCTGAGTAAACTTCCAAGAAGTCCTAGAGACTGTACTATAGAAGCAGTTATTTATATGCTAGGAATAAAAAAAAAGGTACTGGCTTGTGTGCAGCCTTACCTCCTCCTTGTTGACAAGTTCTCATCACTTTCACTCATCACCAGGACTCTGCTAGATCCTCCTTGACTAGCTTCATGCATCACTTCAATCTGAATAAAAAGGACACATCAAAAGTGAAAATACTTCATTTCTGATGCTTTTTATTTAGAGAACATTAACTCTTGTAAAGAGTGGAAAACAAATCTTACCTAGTCTAGAAATCACTGGACAAGTTAAAATAATTGAATTCTAGGTCCCCAGGTTGAAACAGACTGGGGCTTTTTACATCATATTTTGATAAACATTAACCTGTTTCCTTGTCAACTCTTGAGGAGTTGGATCATTTCAAGCGTGCTCCAGGAAAGCTTTAAGCAGGCCTTTCCTCCTTTTGCCTGCAGCTTTAAAAGTAGGAAGCAATCTCTTCAAATTCAGCAAAACAGCTCAGCTGCTGAGTTTGCAGTTAATCCAAGCCAATATCTAAACTCCAGTAGAGCCTTTAAGTTCCTGAGCACTTTGGTTTAAGGGCTGATCCTGGGAAAAAAAAGCAGTGGCCTGTCCTATTCTATATGGCTAAATTGCTTAGGTGGTGGTGAGCATGATGTAGTCTATTAATAGATGATCTTTACCTGAACTATTATCAGAACACATGAAATACAAAAATTTTATAGTAACAGTGGGAGGGAAAGAAAGGAGGTATAATTTGCACTGTAGCCTTGGGAACTAGATTTAAAAATGAATTTATTTTTTTTAAACCTGTACCATGTTGTTGCATATACCTAACTGGGGAAGGAATACAGCTGATTACCTGCATTACTGCTGAGAATGCCTCTCTCCCATAGTACCCGACTTCTGCTCTTCTCTTCTGAATATTGGTTGTATTATTTCCCTCATTACAGTCAGGGTCCTCTCTTGCTCTTTTCTTTCTCAAAACATACCTTAAATAGCATTTTTTACCATTCTAATGATATGCTGCCCTAAAGAGCTAATAATGTGAATCTTAATGCAGGGAAGATGCAAGAAAACTATGGCGAAGGGATGTTACGATTTAAAAGGTGGTGAGTGAATGGCATTGTGTATGTTTTGATTTTTGCCTTATTTTTTATAAAATTGTAACAATGTTGGCAAAGTTACAAAACATTTGTGCACAGACCATTCAGAATACAACTTCAATTGTACTCCTCGTGTCTCTTTCATAGGTATATTTACATGGTCTAAACCCAAACATTTTAAACAAGATGAATGAGGCATTACTTGAATTTGACAGGAAAAAAAGGAAGTCTGGTCTCTGAAAGTGGCTATTTCAGCTAGCCTGAGCAAATGAGAAGTTTCAGGATGCAGCTGCACTTCATCTTGGTTAAAAGAATTGCAGATAAATGAAGTTTTGGATACATCTGTTTCCAGTCTTAAAACACTCAAGGAGGGCTGAACAGCTGTCTTGATAGCTTGTTATCCCAGTCAGTCTCTACAGCTCAGACAAAGGACAGCCTGCTCTAAGTGTTGGGCTCTTAAATGCTGTAAGGCTTGGGAGCAGGGAGGAAAGGATAAGGATGTCCAAAGAGTCCTAAACAGAATCTTTTAGCAGAAGCAATAATGCAACAAATCTCATCACAGAGACACACAAGCAAAATACATTTCCCTGAACCTTATGTGCCCATGCAGCAACAGTGGAATTTTTCTTTGGTTTTTATTGTTGTTGCTTGGTTAGTTTATTTTTAATACTTAAAAATAATCTTTCCTCCTTTGCCTAGAACCTACCCTTAGAAAATATTTAAATGAGGAAAAACATATAACTTATTAGAACACTGAACATAACACATCATCACTTCAGAGGAGCTGGAATAAGATTCCAGTTTTAGAGACAAAATAGTTTATATGCTATAAGGAAGGATGGACACTTTGGATGCACTTTAATGTATTATTGTTGGATGTTCCCTCCACATTTGAAAGTGATTCATCCTTTGAAAGTGATTTCTACTTTAGTGTAACTTGTTTTTCCATGTATATAAGCATAAATCTTTTTTAATAGTGTCAGTTGAGTAACTTTCAAACCACAACATGAAGTGTAAAAAAAAAATGCTTAGCAGAGATGTTCAAATTTTTAATTCGAAATATAAATATATAAACCTATATTTATATTGTTTTGAGTTCTCACAATATGGGATGTCCCCAAAACATGGATATTCCTACCTTAATTCCACCTTTAGTCTTCTTAATGTTTTTCTTTTTTGATAACTCTACTTCAGAAATGGTCTTTGGTGGGCAGGAAATTTCTGTGGACCTCCTGTTGGTAGCTGAACGAGTCAAAAATAAAGTAATATTAGAAAATGTATGCTAAAAGTTGAAATCCTACTTCCTAATAAAAGCAGTGAGCAAAGATCCTGTCACGTCAGTGCTACCTGTGACCTAGCTTAGAGAACGGAATTGTGGCTGGAAGGGTGAAGGAGCAGCTGGCACAAGGGATGGGCCACACTGCTTGGTGCTGCGCTGCGTCGCGAATTGGCACCTACAGCTCCAGGCTGTAATGATTGCTTTGGTTGGCTTCCTCCCTGGCAACTATCTGTAGGGTAGCACAGGTAAATGTTAACCAGCTGTATCGACTCTTGGGTAATTTTCACTTGCATAGTTTTTTAGCTCAGGTGTTGTTACTTGTGTGGGTGCCCAAAGAAAGGAAATTTTGTTTCTGGTTGTGGTTTGCTAATGTTGGATTATAAAGGATTGTTGTTCCCTATAAGGTTTTATCACATGAACAAGCATCAAAAGAGTAATCATATAGGTGTTCATCAAGTCACTGTGACCATGTCTGTAATGATAGTGAATTCAAGGAAATTATTTCAGGATGTCATATCAGGTTTGTTGGGCCTTGCAGGCTCTGTAAACCACAGTGACTGTCTAATGCTACTAGGAAATCATCCTTAACATCATAACTGCTTACCCCGAGACTGCTGTCCAAAGAAAAGGTTTAGAATGAACTATGAGAAAGGGACTCATACATTTGGCTTAAGTAGAAAATAATTTCTGTTACAGTTTGTATCTTTGTTTTAAATTGATAATGAGTTCACATTGCGTGTTTTATAAGTACAAGGCAAACACTGCTCTCCTTTTTCTTAGCTGCTGACTTGATACAGGCAACCATGCATGTCATGGGATAAACAAATATGAATACCAGATGAAATTATGAAAGAATCGGGGTCAGGCAACAAAGAACATAACTGTTGCAATTCTGAGATTAAGTCATTTTCAGTTCTATTCTGAGAAAACTTTCTAACTGAATAAGAAATTTTCCAAAAATAAAAGCCGGTGTTTTTAAATGCATCCAGTAACCTTCTGTTCAAATGGTTTTACCAAGTTTAACATTTTGAGGTGTATAGAGTTGTGGTGGTCACTAATAACTTTTTCTTCTACTCTGGGAGAAGCTGAGGAATGCAATAAAAAAAATGCAGACATATTTGAATGGGGAGGACACTATCAAAAGATACATGTAGGAGAAGATTGAACACTTTTTTTAAAAGAAACACATTAACAAATTTTCAAATGCACTTGTCATTACATTCTTTTAATATCATTAAAAAAGGGGGGGGCATAGAAACATGCCAAATTATCTGTGGTTAAAAAGACAACATGTTATCAGTTTCATAGACTATAATAACAGAAGCTGACATTTCGTCTGCTCTGTGTCTTTACAACTGCCTTATCATGCAGCGGGGAAGAGAATTAATTAAAGCAGCTTCTCTCCAACTCTTTCCTAAATCTTTCTGGTTTTATCCCATGCTGAATGATCTGGGGTCTTGGCAATGTCCGTTTCATGCCTATTAATTCCTCACAATGACTCTGTATTAGAAAGTTTCTTCAATGTAACAGCAAAGTCTGGCAGCCACCAGCAGCTATAATCAACCGGTAGAAGATTCTTATGGTTCCCAGGACTGAGCTGAAATGCAGATGTCAACTCCATTTGGTTCTTTTATCATTCTCTTTCAGAATATACCGCAGGGGATTTGTTTTGATGTTGAGCGCTACTTTCAACAGGTGCCTTTTTCCCATCCCAAAGAAAGCTTCCCATGAAGTAGCAATTGTTTTCCCAAAGGTACTGTTAATTCACCCAAAAAGTGGGGTACTGACATTTTGAAACCAAGGGAGAAGAAATAAAAAGCAAGATGCAGGAAATATAAGCTACTTGTCCTTATTGTCAAAATTCATCGTACCTTTCTAATCTGCATGATTTCTACCATTGACAAAACCAGAATACCAACCTTCATCAACTATTTGATAAAATTTCAAACAGGCCTTTTTATGTTTTTCCCCATGAATCCCTGAGTAAAGTGGTTACAAGCATCAGCAAATTCACTCTTTACTATACTAATGCATCCTGAAGATTCTATTTAGCCTTCAATTCTCATCTACCGAGACCTTGACAAGACGTGGGCTGTGATCATACCTATCACACTGAACAATGTTCTCTCCTGGAGCTTCTTCCAACTGTATCCTATTTATACCTTGAAAAAAATCGGCATTAAAAAATAATCTAAGGCTTGATCACAAAAGTCATGATCCAATTAAAAAAAACTAAGACATTGTTTCATACTCTTCCCCACACGCTTACCTGGCACTCTTCAATACCCTAGATATGCTGCCAGTGTCCAGTTACCCTATCTAAGTCTGAGTTCAGTCCATTGGATTGCTCTACAAATCTAATTCCCAAGTGTTATATATACTATGTGTTATTGAAAGGAATGGAAGCAAAGGAAATAATGTTAGGAAACATGAGAACTTTGGCTTAGAACAGCATAGTCAGCAATACAAAGTTGTTTGATCTATTCATTAACCAGAAAACTTTGTAGCTTGAAGGGATGGTTGTTACTGGTATGAAAATCTTGGCTGAAAGGAGTCAGCAGAAAACGTGGAAATCAGTTACGACTTTGATGTCTGGATCACAGCTTACAAACTCAGACAGCTCCAGGTGATCCAGGAAAGAGAGCACTGGACAGCTGAAGTGAAAGATGACGCATTCGCAGATACTCCATGATCAGATACTCCATGATTCTTCAAATTACTCGGGTCAGTTTACAAGCGTAGTCTTGGCTTCATCAGTATGACACTTCAGAAAGAAGGAGGCACATGCAAGATGAGGAAACAGTCCAATCCAACTGCTTATATTACCAAGGTGAATTTGATTCAGATTGACACAGCAAACTTTCCCCTTCCCATTTGACCCAGAAATGATGGAAAACAGGAAGCAATCTGGTTTTGGTTGTGCTCCAGAGTATGAGTTATTGAGTGGCTCATATTCAGAGACTGCTGCATGTCACTACATTTAAGTAGTTTCTGGAGTTATTTAGAAAGAAACAGCCCAAATACCTGCCAATCATTATTGTATTAATTACTGTGGAACTGGAAATATCTTAAAGGGGAAACTCCCTTATAAAATTCAGTACATTTGGCTGTTTCAAGGTCATTACTGTGCTGTACTGCTGAGGAAGCTGAAAGTTATAGTGTTCAACTGCCTACTGAAAGAACAAAGGCACGGGAACAAAGGAAAACGATCTCTATAAACAATGTACGGTCTGCATGGTTTCAAGGTTGTTTTCATCCTATTGTTTCACAGTATTCCCCTGGATAATGAGTAATGAAGATTTCATTTTGAACTCATTAATATTTTAAATTGCTTGATGCTGCTTTTAAAGCAAAGATTGTTAAAGGGCATTGTATGCAGACGTAAACTTTTAATTGCAAGGATATTTACAGAAAAGCAGAGTTTAGGTCTATCACTTGCATTCACCTGGACCACCACTGTGCCTCTCCTATGGGGCTTTAGTCCTGCTTACTAGTTTTTTATGAACACGTTGCATAATAAATATGGAATTACAGTTTTATTACCTAGCCTAGAGCAAGTGATAACATGAGCTGTACTGTCCCTAAAGGTGCTAGGAAAGGACATAGACAAGTGCTCGGTGTTGCTTTGCAGTCTCTCCACCGCTCTGGGACTGCAATAAATTCAGTGAGGACAACTTGCTGAGCTGCCTGGGAGGAAAGGCTGTGGTTTCATCCATTTCCCCACCCTGCTCCTGTATGGCAGGGTACAGGCACCATCTCTCAGGAGCTGCTCTCTGACGGGGGGCTACATCACACCATGAGGCACAAACAGAACTCTGCAGCTCCCAGGAGCTCGGAGACAGCAGGATTAGTCCATTTGGGTAATTGGCCTGAAATTTGCTCCTGTCTGAGTAAATATAACTCGTTAGCTAGCACAAGACATGGACTCTGTAGTCAAGGGTTATGACACACACCCAGCACTTGCAAGATTTCCCAATCACATGCTTCCGCATCTATTCTGTGGGAGAGTTTGTGCATTCTCACTAATCACCTACAGCAGAATCAAGGTCCTTTGGCAAGAACAGCCATGGGAATGACTAGTCTGCTAAACTCTTTATTAGGGCTTGCAGCTCATGCTGTCCCACAGGAACATGACTGAAAATAATTAATGACTTAATAGTGCTTTTGAATGCTGGTGATGACAAAGCAGCATGCTTAGGCAGCTAGAGAAATACCAGAGCATCTAAGGTTTATCATTTAATGACTTAATACAGAAAGTCTTTTCCATTTGTAGGCAATATAATCTATACGTCTTTGCTCTAGCAAAATTGCTGTCAAGCCCCCTGAAAATCTGCCCATATGAGAAGCATGGAGCGAGGCCCCTGTATGTGGAAGATTTTTCTGCAAGGAGACACACTACTTGGTTTCCTCATACTTGCCCAAGTGTGATAGGAGACCTACAGCCACAAAATTGAAAGCTGCTTTTCCTTTTCTCTATGTTGTTTCTAGAAATATCTTGAACTATAGAATCGGGTGTTTCCCAAAACCATTAATGAAAATCACATGCACCAACTTTTCTGAGTCAGATAATCTCTCTGCAGCCTCACTTCTGCACACGTCCCCAGACTCTTGCAAGACATTCTTCTTTTATCCTCTATCCAGATGTTATTAGTTAGTAAGTGTTATGCATTTAGTGACTGTGAGGAATGCTGGAATGGATCCAATGAGCAGTCATACACATTTAACTGAGATGGAACCAGTTTAAATTTTATTATTTAAAGAACTGAAAAGGCTCCAGCGGTGTTCCCCCATAGGAATTTCTTGTTCCAAGCTGGCCTTCTAGGATGCTTGCAGAGTGAGTCATGGATTTTGTACATGCAATGTGCTCTTAAACATGTTATTTGCTTAATGAACTCACAGAAATTTTAACACCTCTGCTCCTGTATTTCACATTTATGTTGCACACAAATAAATCTCTAGGTGAGTATTTTATAGCATTTAGAAGACAGGAGATGGCAGAAGCAAAGCCACATATGCAGCCCTAATGTTGCCCCTTTCCTGATAAGGCATCTTGGGCCAACCCTTCGAAGAATCTTCGCCTCGTTCAGCGCATAGAATCAAAAACACTTAATTAATGAGCTGCTATTCACTATTTTGATTTATCTGTATTTCTCAGTGGGGGCCCAGAGCCTTACTATCCATATGCTATTTCAGTCCCTGCTCTGAAAATAATTTAAAGTTCTAGATAAACATTTACTGAGCTGTTTTCACAACACTTCTCAGAGGTAACAGGCTGTTATCAACCACACTGAGCTCTGAGTTCCACAGATAAAGATCAAAAGAGACTACACTACTTTGTGAGACCAACTTGACATTTCTAGAACTACGTTTTCAGGTTACTGAGTATTAGACGCTGCTTCACATGCCCAAGAGCACATGCCCTGCCCAGCAATTCTGATTTCAGTCTTTCACTGCTCTTTCAATGTAGATGTCTTTGTGTATTGCAGAAGTTATTAAAAAAACAAAAACCAAAAAAAAACAACCACCAAAACTGCACTAAATTGAATCACTTTAACACCCATGTGAGTTTTTAACAGGGTTGAAACATTTACACCTACTGTACCAGCTTCTCTTTGCCATGTCAGCAGGAGAAAAAGCAGCAGTAAGTAGTCACAGTTTGAGGGCTGACTCCAGAACAGTTGAAACCCATCCAAACCGGGTTTGGTACAGTTCTCCCTTTCCTCCCAACCTCTGGCCACACACTTCTGTCTCCCTTTTTGTCAGCACTGCTGCTCGTGGAACTGGATGATGAGCTGAACTAGCCAAAACCAAACAACCCTCCTCACACACTGTCAGTTTTCAGTTCCCGGCTTTGTCCCCACTAGTTATGTGCCCGTAAGTGCAGAGGGAAAGCAGAGGCACAAACACGCTGCTGTGCTGGGCAAAGAGGAGCGGAGAAAGGGAGACTGTCACAGCCCTGCATTAAGAAGGGCTTAAACTGCTGCAAGATCATACTGTAAGGAAACAAGCAGTGCAGGGGATAAGAAACATATTTTTCCTCTGGGTCCCAAAGATTTTTGCTGACAAAAAGGAAATGAGACTATAGGAGCCAAACTGTAGCTAGTTCATACATAATGAACGTGCATGAACTGAGATTTTTTTTTTCCAAGTGCTTATAATACTGCCAAATCTGGACACTTTAGGAAGGGACAAAACTTCTTTGTACTGGCATGTTCCAGTTCTCACCACAAAGGTAACTGAAACAAGACAATTTTCCTAGCCTTCTTCACTGAGATGGCCAAACAATTTTTTACTGTAGGTTTCCAAGAAAGTGTCAGGCTGAAGAAGATGGCCTTTGGGAAAGTTTCATTTCAAAGAGGTAGAGTCTGGGAGAATTACAAGCAAATGAATATAAAGAAATGCTAACTACACTCATCCCTAACAGCTTATATTACCCTTTACACTCTGTGGCGTATCCTGCTGTGCCTGACAGCCTATGGGCAACACCAGCCTCCATGGTTTAACTCTGTGGACCTATCCCAGTTCACTCCAGCAAAGGAGTTTCGTACAGAAATGCAGTTCACAAACATGTAGTCAACTCACTAAAAATGATGTCCTCAGAAGTCAACTATAGCAAAGGAATTTCCTCATCAAGTGCCACCTCTTTCCTCCCAACACACACAGGGACAAGTTTAGCCATTAGCGGTATTCAGGCAGCTTCCTCTGGGAGTAAACAGAGTTCTCCTTGAAATAAGGTGTCATATATACTACTTAAATATTTTCAAGGCAGTTATTATGAAAGGGTCAGCAGACGGTTTTCTGCCTTTTCTGGGTTGATCTGTGAATATATTTAAGCAGATTCCCCCAGCTAAAATGTGCATCAAGTCTGGCTGGCATAAACTTCTGATCCTCATTATAATTCCCGTACTAGTTTTTCAATATTGAACAGGCCTGTCCCTGCAGAACTTGCACATTCATTTGTGAAACCAAAAGCTTCAAGCAAAAATGGGATGAATATTTTCCTTTTTATTCACAGAAAAGCACTTGGTGAGGGAGAGTTGTAAAGCTCTGAGCTGCATTTCTGGATCTTCACTAAGCTAAGACTTTGCCAAGAGTCAACAGAGACAGTAAGGTCATAGACATAAGAAACTGTCACAGTCCTTTCCCTGATAGAAATCTGCCCTTTCAGCTCTGCCTGTGTGCACCTATGTATGTGTCCACATAAAATTAAGAGTCTCACAGTTACAGTAACGGAGTATTTAATGCCTGAGCCTTCGCATCTGTTAAGATTTTTCCATTAGCACCCTGAATTGGATTGAATTTTCCCTCCCAGCCCTTGCTGGGGAAATGGAGAGTCATCAAGTAAAAGCAAATCAAAACAAAATCTGTTCTAGAACGAATACAACTTTTTTTTGTTTCACAGACAAACATTGCAGTGCTGCTGTGGTATTGTTATATCTGCTGCCAGGGACAAAAAAGCTTTTCATTCTGGTTTTCTATTTCTCTTTGCCACGTTTTATTGCCTTTGCCTGCCTTTGTATTTACACAGCCTAGGAACATGGTATTTTCCTGTTACCATATTCTATTTTTCAAGCTTTTAGAAATATTCAGGTGTGTCCTGAGTAACAAATGAGTTATAGTATCTGTTTCAAGAAGGTGCTCTTAGCCTCTTTCATTTTTCTAAGATGCTGCTGAATAAATTCTCCCTATAAATAAATGCTGATTCTGCATTGATCCTGTGAATGTGAAGAAAGGGCACAGAAGTCCAAAAGAGGGTAGTTTCAAGAAGAACAGGATTTCACAGCCTCATTTTCAAGGCTTGGAATAGAACTCAGTGTCTGTGTTTCTATTTTCAGCCACATTTCAGACTCAGACTGTGAAACCCCTTGGTGAATCACTCAGTTTATCTGTGCTTCAGTTTTCTTTCTGGAAAAAAAAAAGGAGGTTAAAATACTTACCAGTACTTACCAAGTGTTTTGGCATTCTGAGGGAAAGGGCACTCAGGAAATTAAAAGTATAACTCTTTGTAGTGGACAATTGGATAATACCCAAAGGATACCAGTACACAGTATATGTAAATATACATGTACTGTTCATGGCAGTTAAAGTAACTGTTCTTGGGCCCCAGGATAAGCTATAGATAGCCAGGGACTTCTGTTTCTTTGTACAGAGGTACTCCAGGTTAATCATCTTCAGGCACAATCTCAATGAGATCCTATAGTCAACTTACCAACATCCGAACAGGACTGGGTTGCACTTTTCATCTCCTCAGAGAACAACTGGAGTAACATTTTAAAATAAATTTCATCTACCTATTAATTTGCAACGGGACATCAGAGGCTAATTCTTGTCACACGGTTATCCTGTATTGTGTTCTATAACACTGAGCTGCAATGCAAGGGTCAGAGCAAGGGAGCATCTCATGTTTTTCTGTGAAAGAGCTGGTAGTATTGGATTGTCTGTATGAACCAGAACCAGAACTTAAGCATTGTCATTTATATACTATTGACTATTTTCTAAGGTTCTATCTATACAGAAAATTTAATTAAAAAAATCTCTGAGTGGTCTAAAATTACAAGAAAGAAGTTCAAGAAACACAAACTCAGAGACTGCATGCATAAACAGAAATGCAAGACTAGCTTTTAGCCTGAAGGTGAAGTTTCACAGTAGGTGGAAGCCATTCTAAAACTGTACTACAACAGGGACTAACCAGCTCTGACCTACTGACCTCATAACCCCATTTTTCTGCAACTTCCTTTGCATCAGTACTAGTGGCCACGCAGTGAACAATCTGATCAACTTTGAAGTTAGTGGTGTTTTGAGCAGGTGATTGGCCTATGTGATCTCCAGAGTTCCCTACATTTTTCTAATTCGTACAATGGAGAACAAACTACTAAATTTTTGCAGTTAGTTCACTGAGTTTTCAAGGTAAAAAAAAATTAAATGTGACCGTGTGGACAAAACATTGTTGTGTGTCTGAAAGCAGCTGTTCACAGCCTACCTACTCCTGCTGGTCTGGTAATCTTTGGTGATGCTCGCTTTGGGGAAGATTCAGGATGTGGGGCGACAGGTTGTACTGGCCGGGTCTGTTTGGCTGCCAGCTTCTTCAGACTTACTTGCCTCTTGTCAAACATTTCTTGTACATCTTCTAGTTTTTGTATAATTCTTTGGGCATTGGCCTAGGAAAAGAAAAGGTAAACAACAGATGGTTGTCAGTGCTGGACTGAGCAAATTAAGAAAGGACTTATGTTACCCAGACTCAGACTAGAGCTGAAGCTCAAGCCCATGGGCTCTGCACAGATCTCGGTTTCACTGAGTAGGACATGGTGACTCATGTGGTCTTTCTAGCACTACTCTGAAGAAAATCACATATGTGTTCTGTGACTACTCATCTGAGTAAACTTATTGCCCTAAGTGCTCACCTCTGTGCTCTTTTG